AGTTATAGTAAACAAACAATGTCCTCATGTTATGAATGAACAGGAACACTCCTCAATCTCTTTTTCTATTTTAAAAGGGAAATATCAGGGGGTCTGTTTAGACCCCTAATAATCCCCCGAAGCCCCTAAAAGTAAAGTAAAAAATAAAAATATTTAATAAAAAATAAATAAATAAATATAAAAAAATTAAAAAGTTTATAAAAAATAAATAAAAATAAAATATTTTTAAAAATTTGAAAAAGTTAGAATAAAAAAACATTTTCGGTTTCGGCCTGACATTTTTTTTCATTTCGGTTTTGAAATTTTCATTTCGGTGCACCTCTATTTTTTAAACATTTAAAATTATTGTTTTATACTGTCGATGCGTCATAGTTTTATGTACATGCACAGATGCACATCACAAACTAGTGCATCTTACATATAGATACCATGTAACTATATGTAAGATGCACTAGTTTGTGATGTCTAGTTGATCGGCCTTGCCCCAAATGATATTTGACTGGCTTCACAGTTATGGTGATAATGGTAATCCTAATGTCCTTTTTTACTGTTACTTATAAAGGTCGGTATTTTCTTGCCGAGAGCCCAGAGATGCAGGGGTCCCAGGTCACTCAAAACATTAGGAGGAAAGTACCTGCTTTGAGTCACCGTGCAGCTTTACATAGGACTTCATATGGAAACGGCTATTTAAATAAATCAGTTATATTGGTTAATACTAGTATTTTAATACCGTATCAATGAAATCGACTCAAATGTATATTTTAGAGCTGTTGCTCCCCTACAGAAATATTTAACAAAGTTAGTACATCCAATGTTTTCATTTGCTTCTCCTACATCTTTCATTTTTCTTGGTAATGTCAGAATGCAGTCATGACTCTGATGGCAGATTTCCTGGAGATGGTGAATAATCCTCATCTGAGTGATGCTCAGCTGCAGACAGACTGCGGAGAGGTGCTAAATGTGCACATGTTTGTGTTGTATGCTCGCTGTCCCCTGCTTGTGGAGGCGGTAAGTGACATATTGCTATATATACAGACATTTTGTTAATAAAAGGGAGTGTATCGTGTTTTGTGTATCGTTTGTATATTTAAAATGTCTTTTCAGGCTAAAATCAAAAACATTTCTTTGCATGGTATCCCAAATATTTGCACCTTCCCAATATGCCCATTTTTCAAAGTCTCAGTAATTAGTAAGACATTACCTGGTGATCCTGCCATTCCCCTTTTTATAACCTGATTTCTGGTGCACGGATGAAAAATAGGATTTTGGTACTCACCGTAAAATCCTTTTCTCTCCGTTCATTGAAGGACACAGGGAACAGATCGGAGATCCTGTACTGTAGGGTAATATCGCCACCTGCAGGAGAAGGACGCTAGGCACAATCCAGACCGAAGGGCAGAGCGACAAACTGGTAATGGTCGTCCCCCACCGCAAAGCGAAGGTAGCGTTGGTGGGAGGTACAAACAGGAACGTGAAGGTAGGTATCTTTGATGTCTAGGGAGGCCATGAAATCCCCCTGGTGAAGACACGCCACCACAGAGCGGATCGATTCCATCCGGAACCGGCGAACGCGTACAAAGGCGTTCAAGCGCTTGAGGTCCAGGATGGGACGAATCCCATCCGTTTTTGGCACCGTAAAGAGGTTTGAGTAAAAACCTCTGAACCTCTCCGAGGAGGGAACCGGAACCACCACCCGCCACCGCGCCATGAAGGTCCGCCAAGCGCTGTGGGGGAAGACGGGTGTTGGAAGGAAAAAACCTGTCCTCGGGACGTGACAGAAACTCTATTTTGTAGCCCGAGGACACCAATTCCCGCACCCAGGTGTCGGAGACGCGGGACAGCCAGCGGCTCGCAAAGAGCCGAAGACGTCCCCCCACCCTGGAATCCCGGGATGGGGGCAGGCCTTCATGCCGAGGGGGGCTTACCCTGGGGCTTGGCGTTCCTGGGCTGCCAGGGGCGTTTGGCGGCCTAGGAAGGCGGCGGTCTGTTGAACTTCCCGCCCTTCTCCGAGGGCGGAGGCGGACGAAAAAGCCGCTTGTGAGCGGAAAAGGAAGGACCCGGCTTCCGCCGCTGTTCCCTAGGCTTTTTAGATTGAGGTAGGAAGGTACTCTTACCGCCCGTCAAATCCTTAATTATCTCATCCAAGGTAGCCCCGAACAGACGCTCCCCCGTAAAGGGGAGCTCCGTCAGAGCCTTCTTGGAAGCCTGGTCAGCCGACCAGCATTTAAGCCAGAGGAGGCGCCGAAGAGTAACCGCCGACACAGACAGCTTGGAAACCAACGGTGCCGCATCCAAGGCCGAATTACACAGGTATTGCAGACCCTGCACCACCTGTTCCGTAAGGTCGACATAAGCAGGAGACACGTTTTCTTCTGCAAGACCCTGACGCAGCATCTTCATCCACTCAGTCAAGGTCTGGGAGACCAGGGCCGAAGCCAACACGGGGCGCAACAGAGCCCCGGAAACCGAGTACATAGTACGCGCCACCGCCTCCGCCTTCCTATCCGAGGGATCCCGAAAGGAAGGCGAATCCTCCACCGGGATGACCGTAGCCTTGTTCAGGCGGGAAACCGGCGGATCCACCGCGGGGGGAGTAGACCACTTGGACAGGAAGGACTCCTCAAAAGGATAACGAACCGAGAAGCGTTTGGGGACGGAAAACGACTTGCTCGGGCGCTTCCACTCCTTGTAGACAAAGTCATCAAAAAAAGGAACATAAGGGAAAACCTTAGTGGAACGCCTACTCCTGTGCGTCCCAAAAGGAACCGGCGGGAGCGCCGAAGAGCTCGGAGTCTCCTCAATTTTAAGCGTTTCCCGCACAGCGCGAACCAAGGCCGTGACCAATTCGCGTTCCTGTACCATAAGGGCAGTCCCTGACTCTTCATCACTAGCAGACTCCGCCTGGGAGGAATCCCCCAGGTCGGGCTGCGCGGCGGCCGCCGAAATTTCCCCCTCTTCCTCAGAGTCCCCAGAAAGGACCGGGGAGGGGACCGGCAAAGCTCGCTTCCGTGGAGGGCGCTGCGTCAGCGCGCGCTCCATACGGGACACAAAACCGTCCATAGTGGAGGAAAAGGCCTCCAAAGACAACATAGCGCCGGTGGACCCCCCACCCAAAGACCCCACAGGCACCAAGGGAGACTGGGAAAGGGGCGCAGAAGTACAGGCCGCGCAAAGGGGAGACGTGGGAGATGTCCCTGAAGAGAGGCCGCAGCCCTCACAGGGCACTGCGGACAGACCGTCCCCACAGTCCATGTCCCCGGCAATATAGTTGCTAAACTAGGGCCACAAGCAAGGGAAGGGAGTCCCCAGCAGGCACCGCCCCCACCGCTGTTGTCCCCAGCAATCGACCCCCCGCAGGCAGACGACCCTCCTACAGTAGCTGACTCCCCGTGTCCCAGTGCGTCCTCACCCGACCGCGTCCCGGCGTGAAAGACCGAGCCGGCCGGGTGACGCGCTATTACGGGGACCGGGAAGTGGCGCACCGGAAGTGACGTCACGAAGAGGGCGCACGCGCCCACAACAAACATGGCGGCCGCGGCCTCCGAGAAGGCCGCAAACGAAGCCGGGGGCTCGATTAGCGGCCCCCGCGCACACGCGGGAGGAACAGAGCGGGCCACGCGCCCCAGAGACAGCAGCACCAGCGCGGCAGCCCGACCCCGAAAAACGCCGCGGAACACGGCCCACAGCTGCTCCCGCCGGCCGCCAGGAACCAAGGCAAGGCCCCACAGTGCCACAACACCCCTACGCCACCCCAGGAGCTGACGGAGGAGGGAGGGGGGATAGGGGGGCGGCCGAAGGAGGTCAGGACCCCAAAGGGAGATCAGACCCCCACCAACCCCCCCATCACCGCCACGTGCCCGCACAGCGCCATACATACCGCCGGGGAACGTGGACCATCCGCAGCATCCACGTCAAGCAGCTGCGCAGGGAACATTGAAGGTCCAGGTGCACAGGTACTGCGGAAGACTGGCGCCCCCGACCGCAGCCGCGGCGCCAGAAGCCTGTGGGGAGCACTGTGACTGGGCGGCCGAGACCCCCAGTCATATGCACCCCCCTGGGACGAACCCATAGGCCACCCCGCCAGAGCGGGATCGTCGCAGCCGACCCACCGGAGCGGGCCTGCATGCGATCGTCGGTCGTCCCGGGGAGACTCCAAGGATCCGGGACATCCAGCCTGTCGCCCGGACAACACTTGCTAGAAGATTCCACTGAAAAAGATCAGGAAGAAGCAGGTAAGAATACCCGAAAAAAATTCTTAGCTCCTTACTCCTGACGCTAGGCAAAAAACTGGAGACTTGTCAGCAGGTGGGGGGTTTTGGCCACCGGCAGGGGCCGCCCCTAGGCTGTGATTGGTCTTTAGTTTTGTGCCTAGCGTCCTTCTCCTGCAGGTGGCGATATTACCCTACAGTAAAGGATCTCCGATCTGTTCCCTGTGTCCTTCAATGAACGGGAGAGAAAGGCTAATTACCCGGTACTGAAGCAGATAATCCCTCAAGCGCTGTTGGCACCTGGAAGTTGTGCTGCTTAATTAGGAAGCCGTTATCTTTGAGAAGACTCCAGTGTGCATACACCTTTGAGTTGCCTTTTTCTGACAATGCTCAGTCCAGTTAAGGAATGTACAGCTCGAGCTACTCCCTTCCTCACTTTTATTTTCGGTATTGTTCAGAGAGCTCCGCTGCTCACTGGGGAAAGGACAAGCGGGGAGAGGTAGCGGTCACATGACCGCACAAATGTAACGTAAAATAAAGGTTATTTTTTTATTCAAATTCTCAGCGGACATTAAATAGGAAATTATAGAAGTACCATTTGACATTGGCAGTGACTCATCCCTTTATTAGATGGCTCAATCAGACAAAGGGAGCCTAAAAAATGTCAGCATCTGCTGTGCTTTATTGGCAAATACATGGCTCTTTCATTGCCTTGTTACTAAATCTGATAATAAATTGCATTCTACATATAAATATGTATTCATAGCACCACATCAGTGTTTTGTATCTTTCAATGTTTCCTTCTGATTTGTCCAGATACACTCCGAAGGATTCTATGTAGATGAAGGCAGCACTGGGCGCGTGAGACGTTTTCTGCTCACTGATGTGTCTGCTGAAGCTGCTCTCTGTTTTCTCCGATTTTTGTACTCTGCCAAGACGGACATCCCCAGCCACTGCCTAATACATGTTTGTGAACTGGCTCGTAGGTAAGTTACACATGTACATTTGAAGCAGTTATCTCTACAAAAGCAGACCGTATAGATGGAGGGCTAACCTATGTGTAGAATGATCTGATAAATTGTTCTGTGTGCAATTATTATTATTATACAGGATTTATATAGCGCCAACAGTTTGCGCAGCGCTTTACAATATAGGGAAGACATTACAATCACAATACAATTCAAGACAAGATGGTAAGGAGGGCCATGCCCCTGAGGGCTTACAATCTAAAAGGGATACATGATACAATTGAAATGATATTGTATAAAAAAAATACATCTTGCAAGTATAGTCCTAAAGCCAGTGTGTAGTTCGGCCCACTATAACTAATTAACCCCTTCGTGACGGGAGACGTACACTGTACGTCCAGCCACAAAGGGACCAAATGACTCGTCACGTACACTGTACGTGACGAGTTATTTGCTGCACTAGAAGGCTGCTAACCGCTGAGAATCAGCGGTTACCTTTCAGTAATAGATGTCTAACTATCTAGAGATCCATTACTGAAAGGGTTAACCTTTTTCAGACACCCGATACCTTAATATCGGGTGTCTGAGAGTCACAGCAAAGCAGACACACATGTCGGCTTTTGCCGGCATTCTGACAGCTCGTATAGATCGAGAGATATCTCTCTCAAGCTATACTGGCTTTTTTTTTTTTATCTTTTGACTTTCAAGAATAGATACAAAATGTTATGTATTAGACACATAATGTATCTATTCTTGAAAGTAGAATGTTTAAGTTTTCTGAAACATTCACTGACAGCTGAATCCTGAACTGCTGCAGGATCAGTGTCACTAACTTATTATCGGCTGTTCTGAAGTTTGAAGCAGCCTGATAATAAAAAAAATGTATTAATTTATCAAGCAGTAATAGTGAGATTAATTCACAATGACTGCCTGATATAATTAAATAAATAAAATTTGTCAGTATAAAAAAAGTGAAAAGTGTAAATAAATTAAAAAAAATAGTGAAAAGTGTAAAAAAATTAAAAATAAGGGACAAATAAATGAATGTATGTATTGCATTTTTTTTTAGCTGTGCTGGTTTTGTTAAAAAAAAATACTACAAATCAAAACTGGGAAAAAAAGTTTTTTTTTACGTTTTTTCCTCTTTTTTTAATTTGTATTTGTCCTAAGTGAGGCGTTAGACACACATATGTGATATAAATATATAGCCCTATCTGTCCTCTAAAAAACAATATATAATATGTGTGGGTGCACTTTGTAAGAAAGTATATTACTGACGTGGAAGAATCACACAGCAAAAATGTCAAAAGTGTGTCAGTCATTTACGAACAGAAACCAAAAACAAGCTCAGTCATGAAGGGGTTAAAATACAGTATATGTTTTATATAGACTGCCCATTAAAGTAAAATAATAGTAGGAATCATTTGTTTAAGTTGTCATAAAAATCAGCCCTCTTTTTCTTTATGCTAATTTTGCTCTTAAGACACCCTGTCACCTTGTCCAGTCAAGACAAAGTGAAAAAGTCTATGTAAAGCCCACTATTACCTTTTCCTTTCCTCTCCAGCTCTCTCCTGCTGCTTCTTCTTCCATAGCTGATTCTGCAAAGTACCCAGTGCTTTCGGGTGGAGACAAAATGTGATCTCCTTTCATCATATTCACCTCTCCAGTGCATTCCTTCTACTCGTTTCTCCAACAGAGCCACTACTCAGAAACCAGTATCAAGAGAAAGGGGTAACATTATCCCTTCCATCAAGTGATTGGCTGCTAGCCCCGAGTCACATGATGAGGGGATAATATCATTGCTCCCTCTTAGCCCTGGCACCGGGTTTCTTAGTGATGGCTACAGTGGAGGAAGAAGCAGCATAGGTGAGTTGGAGAGGTGGTCAGGTGGGGGCTTTACCTAGACCCTGAATGGGCAAGGTGACAGGGTCTCTGTAAAGCTGATTGCACTGAAATAGAGTCTCAACCATAAGGGGTTTATGCCTTTACCAAGTATTTCTTGTTCTAAAAATGGAAAAGTGGGGAAAGCCTAAGTAAGGCACAAATGTTTTAGGAAGTACTTACTAGAACCCAAACAGTACTTGGCTTGTTGGGGGATAGGGCTGAGTTGGTTTGTCTTCTCTTTTGAGATCTAACTGCCTTAATTCTGTCCTATAGATTTGGAGTGAAAAGTCTCTTGGACACCTGTGAGATTTTAGTGGGCATGCCACATGGTTTAGAAGATGTGTCACCTGCAGAAGAAGAGGAAGATGAGGATGATGGAGGAGAAAGAGAAGAACATTTCCTGGAGTTATTGAAGTCTATGTGGATGGATGAGAATGAAGATCCCTTTGCAGACCAGGAGGTGACAGAAGGACTTGGGGAAGAGGAGAAAGTTGATGATGGACGGGTTGAGGAGGTGGATTTGGAGGAAATCTATGAATTCGCAGCCACTCAGCGCAGAATGCCAGAAGAACAGATTACAGAAGCTGAAAGTAGTAGTGAACTTGAAGTTGGATATCAAGACAGGGAGTCTGAAGACCAATCTCCTTCGAACAGAAGCCAGGCTGCTGGAGAACAGCCTATGGATATAGTAAATCAACAGTCTTTGGATTATCACACAAAAAGCTTTATAAAAAACAGTTCTTTAACATTGTCTCCTGTCCAAAAGGATGTCGCATGTTCTCCGCAAAAGAAATCACCTGCTTGTATTCACTCTAACAGCCTTGAGTCTTCTCCTGCAGTACCTCTCTTAGCTTCTCTGACCAAATCTCAGCCAACTGCTGTCCACTGTGCTTCCCCTGTTCAGTCACCCTCTAGAAGGCATAGTTCCACAGCTAACTCTCCAGCTTGTCAACTCTTTACCACATGTTCTAAGCCATCGGAAGGTCCCTCAGCTGAGCTCACTGAACCCTCTACTGCAGCTGTCCACACCATTTCACTCATATCCCCAGACAGAGAGGAAGATCCTGAAGCAGACTTGTTCACCCAACACAGCCCCGCACCTCTTAATGATAGTTATGACCGTATATTTTCAGAGACTTGTGGCGAATATGTAGAACCTTCTGGACTTTGTGAATCAAGCTCCCGCGTGCGTGTAGACGCTTCTTACCATGAGCCACCGCTACTTACAAGCTCACCTTCTGTCATTCAGCGTCCTACTCTTCCAGAACTTGGATCTTCACCTAACATCCAGCCTCACACACGGCCCTTTTCAGGACAGTCCTTTTTTGCAGCTCCTGAGAATGGAAATTCCCCAATCTCCATTTGTATAGGTCCTAAATATAGTGAGCCTACCCAGAATTCTAGCAAGGTTTCTTCTACAGCAGTGTCCCTGGAACAAGACATTATCTTGATCTTGTCATCTGATGAAGAAACAGAGGGCAGTGCTCAAACTGCAGAAGTTAAAGCAAAGTGCAATCTTTCTGGCATATTCACTGGTATTAAAGAATCTCCTGCTAGCTTCAGTATTAGGAAAAACAGTGAAGGACATTCACTCCTGGATAAAAGCAGCAGTTCTGAGATGTCTTGGTTGGTACCTGCTACTCCAATGCCACATTTAACAGGGACCAGAATTTCCCTGCTCCAAACATCACATATACCTCAGTCACCCAAAACATCCAAAACAGCTAACCATGATGATACTCTGCATGACGTGTTGTCACCAGCTCAGAAATGTACCTCTCTCGCTGGGACTTTGAACACAACCAAGCCGGCTTCAATTGCTTATCAACCCCCATTTCCAAACACACCTGAAAAGATCATAGGGTCCCATACTAGCACAGGTAGCAAGGTTTCCTGTGTCCGCTCTTCACCAATGTCATCCATCGCTAGCAGTACTGTGTTTGAAGTTGTGGACAGTGAGGAGGAAGGAGCAGTGGCCGAGCCCCAGGCCGACACCAGCGCATGCAGCTTCCAGATGGATTATGATGAGCCACCTATTCCTGTAGAAGAGGATTTGTGGCTAAATGTACAGGAGAGTCCTGCCAGGACTTACTCTTCCCCAGATCGTAATGTGTCATTGCACATCAACGTAACACCCACCAAGACCCCAGGATCTTCTTGCAGCACATCTGCACTACAGGAAAGAGACAGTGAGCCTGATAACAGAGAGGACTCTCCTCGCACTGCAGCTTCGCAGAGCAAGCAATCGAGCTACCTCAACTCTAAGCTGTGGGATGAGTGGGAGGATGAAGAGTCTGATCTGCCTGCTGTTCTGCCATTATCACAGCGACTCAACAAAGTCCCAGATGTGCAGAAGTTGCTGAGGACACCAGGTGGGTTTGTCTGCCATGATATAACAACACTGTAGAACCATTACTAAAACCTAAAAAAATGTATGTACCAAAACCATCATAAAAAAAAAATACTGCATGAAACTTTATAAGAAAGTCAACAGATTTGATTAACATTTTAAAGTATGTAATGCAAAAAAAGGACATATTCAGTACATCTCTGCAATACCTACTAACTTACTGCTGTGGGCTGACCACGCTGCTTTTACTGCACTAAAAACCCAAGCAAAGTTCTCAGCCCTGTCTCGATTACCTCCTGCTGGACTACAGAACACTTCTCCCTTATGGAGATGAGGAAAGTTGGAGGTGTTCCCTAGTTCAGCAGCAAAACATAGGCAGGGCTGACTGCAGGAAGTTTGGAGCTGGGTTCAGCAGGTTCTGTTGATGCTGACGGGTAAACCATTTGAAGCTTAGGTGTGGCATTTTGCTATGGCCTTAAGCTGGCCAAACACCTATAGATGATCTGCAGATTTTCTAGGGTCAGATGGAAAAAGTGCAACAGATTCCTCCAACTACGCTAATATGTGTGGATGGAGGAATCTCCCGCTGGGCCAAGCTGTAGTATCTTGCTAGTTGGCCCCGCTGGCTCTCAGAATACCGGAACAATGCCTGCATCCAATCAGACTGTTTAGGTATTTTGAGAGCCAGCGGGGCCGACTAGCAAGATAGTGAAGCTTGGCCCAGTGGGAGATTCCTCCATCCACACAGTTTAGCGTAGATGGAGGAATCTGTTGCACTTTTTCCATCTAACCATAGAAAGTCTGCAGATAACCTATAGGTGTATGACAAGCTTATAATGGCATTTCTAACAATACACTTCTCTTTCCTTTAGTTTCTATTGTGCGCAAGAGAGAACTGCCTCCCAAGGTTGCTATCACTCCACTACCTGAATATTCAGACATGGACACCCCAGTCTTAAAGAAGGAATTAAACAGGTAAGTAAAAAAAAACACTGTTTGCCCCCCCCTTTCTCTGACATCTTAATGATTTATCTATGTGGCAGTAGCATTTAGGCAATGTGTGTAATGTTTATGAACTTCAACCAACATGCCTGAAAGCAGTTTTTATTACTTTTATAAATGAATAGGAAGATGGCACATTTGTGTATGTCCTTTCTCCAGCAGCAATGACTGAGAGAGTTGACTCCTCATCTTCAGTCTGTAATTTCATTATAGGGCTCTGGCTATTCTGTCTCTAGTAGGAAGATACTTTTTTACAACTGGTTTTTATTCCTTTTTTTTTTTTGCTTATCTTTGCTTAATGTAAATATTGGAAGATATTTCTATTTTATAATGTTAAAGATTGTACAGTATTAAAAGTACACATTATTTCCATAAGGAGTTCCCTGTATAGAGAAGCAGAACTCTAGAAGTTGTGTCCAAAAAAGTGCAGACGGAGGGCAAAGGACTAACTCCTCAGTATTGCATGCGGTCTCCTTCCCCATTACTGACTTACCATCTCTTTTCCTGTACAGTATCTCTGTCTGCAGCCTCCAGAACAGTGAGTAGCACAGTAGTAATCACACGGATTCCCCGACACACACTAAAAGTTTAAATATCAATATTTCAATTATATATTTATTGGTGAAAATGTGACATCATGTCATCATCATGCTAACGTTTCGGGACCTCTATGAGCACTCTAGAGCAGTGGGTCGTGACCCAAAAGTGAGTTGCAACTAGGGATGCACCGATACTTTTCAGATACCGGTGCCGATACTTGGCATTTTCATGAGAACTACCAGGGTTGCAGCGGTTGCAGTGTTTGCAGCTGGGACCTGGCTCTGGTGCTCCACCACTGTCCTGAAATCATTAGTCTGTATTGTTTTAGAAGAACTGTCACATGACAATAAACAAAAATGTATCAGTACTCGTACTTGCAAAACTGGTATCGGTGCATCCCACTATTTATATTTATGAAAACAAAATCGTACATTAAAACAGAGATGTACAAATCCCAGGAGCTCCGTGTGCTCCTTACAAATAACAGCTGCCTCCTAAGTTTTTAATTTTTCTCTAGTCTAGTCTTGGAGCTCGAAAAGTATCGGTACATGTACTGAGTACGGTACTCGGTATCGGTGCATCCCTAGTTGCAACCCCCTGTTGAGTGGGTCGGCGCATGCCTTCTGCTGCGCTAGGTGAGTGGCTCCTCAGCTTGTTTCTAGCGCAGCAGTGTCAGTTCTCCCGCTGCGCCGCCAGATGTGGCAGGGGCTGGGGGGGCTTGTATTCTCTCTCTCATAAGTGTGTGCTTCTGTTTTTAGTCATAAGTCCAGTGCGTTACTAAGTCCAGTGCTCCGCTGGGGGTCACCACAACTTGGCAAATGTTACCAAAGGGTCCCGGCCCCAGAAAGGTTAAGAACCACTGCTCTAGAGGGTAAAGAACTAAGGACTAGCTGTGCAAATGTTATCAGTAGGCTGTGATCATTATAACAGCCTGAAAAGATGTTTTGTTTTCTGTTTTTTGACAAGAGTCGCCATTTAAAGTTTTCCCTGTTACTTAGGTTCGGGGTGAGAGCTCTTCCCAAGAAACGGATGGTGCTGAAGCTGAAAGAAATATTCAGCTACACACATCAGGTCATGAGCTCTGATTCTGATGATGACATCTCCTCATCTCAGCCCAGCCACCGAAACAAAATCGGCGCAGTCCCGGGTCAGCGCCTGCCTGCGTCCAGCAAACAAAGAGCTCAAGCCACCGCTACAACCACCAGCATTTCCCTGACGCAGACCGGGAAGACGACAACAACTGTGTGTGCTGCACAGGAATCCGAGAGTGGAGATGAACAGCCACCAACTGCATCACAGGAGTCTACAACATCTTCTGTGGCTGCAAGTGACACCTCTTCCATATCCCACAGGTAACAAGGAACATCACTATTATTGTCACCACCCACTGTGTTTACACGTTTATGAGTAGTTATAGGGGGAGATTTCCTAATATGTTTATAGCTGTATTTTAGAAGACCAGGTTCTCTTGTTTCATAAGTTTGCTGTGCATCCTTTATTTTTTCAGTTCATTTTAGAGCAGACCTAAAGACCTAAAGTCTAGGAATGAGAACCTTCACAGACAGACCTAAAGTCAAAAAAATACTAGGTCCACAGCTTCCTCTTGCTGCTGACATTTTAAAATAGCAGCTAAACACTGCAAATACTTATCTATATCCTAGAGCCGGGTCCATCTGAGACCAGCCAGCCACTGTCCCCAATTCCACTTCTCTGCGCTTCTGTGGAAGGCTAAGGCTGATTGGCTACCTCTGTCTGAGTGGCCAACCTTTGCATCTGCCTCGTATATAGCCGCACAGAGGATGCAGAAGTGACTTCATTCACTCCAAGCCAGTGCATGGTGATTCGGTTAATGCACATTATCTTCCTTTGAGGCAACCTATGCATTTGAATAGGCTGCCAATGGACCGGAAGTCAGACATACACTTTTTTTGGCAATACAGTGCACGGTAGTGCCGCTGTGTGTTTCAGTGTACTGCAATGTAGGTGTGTTTCCTTTGTGAAAAACGCATAGATGTGAAGACAGCACTTAGCCAGGCTACGGGGGACCCCACTCCTGGTGATAGGTAGGTATTTGCAGGGTTTAGCCTTAAATGTATTAATTGGTAGCAGCAAGAAGAAACTGCCTAAAGTCATTTTTTTCTGGTCTATTGAGGAACACAGGAAATCTTACAGGAGTATTTGACACAAACTGAAAAAAATAAATACATCTGTAGACCAGTTCAGAATACCCCTTTTCTTCAGCCTTGCTGGGAACAGTCTATAAGTATTTTTTTACTAGCCTTCTTTTTTTAAGCTTCTTTTTGCAATCAAGATTCTTCACTACATCGCTGCTGGAGCTGGTCTCTATATGGCAGTTGTGTGGATCGGTCTTTCCTTTGGAGTGCCATACCCAGATTCTAATGGGCCTGGCGTGGTGGGGCTAGCTTAGAGTGACCTTTGGGCAATGGGCTTTACCAAAGGGGAATTTTCCAGGCCCCATCCTGGTAGTAAGTTTGCTGTCGAGCGCTTTCCAGCTCCAGAGCCGATAGTCTTGCCTCTGCACTTTCCCTGTCTCTGAAGGCTCAGTGCGTGAGTAGGACAATTGGTCAGAGCACTAGGAGATAGCTCGCTATTTGCAGTGTTGTGCACATTTGAATGTGAATTTTCCACTTTTCACCAGTTTCACCATGTGAGTGGTTAAAGCTGAGACTGAGCTTTTTAATTCAGCTTAGAGGGAGCATCACTCGGCTGCTCCTCCTGCTTTGCAGAAGAGCCACATGCAACTCCACTCCTCCTACTCTGCATCTACGATTGCACTGGCCACCTCCAGCCTTCAGACCTTCCGTGGTTACCAGCTGCATGGGTTTGTGAGTACATGAGGCCTTGCCTTGTTCCCTGAGCAGGTTGCATCACTGCCATGTGGTTGCAACGTGCTTGTATCTGTGCTGGGCTTCTGATGTGTCCTGGTGCCTTTAAGGAGGAATGGGCTACTTCCTGGTAAACCTGCATCCAATTCATCCTTTGCTATATATGCTCCAAGATGGAGGCTCTCATAGATTAGAGTTAGGACCACACTACACAGGGGGACCTTGACGAGGCAATGTGTGGCTTCCACATATTTTGCAAAAGTTGTTCAATCTGTGTCCCTAAATAGACAAGAAAATTTGATTTTTTTAAACTATAGAACATTTAGTCATGTGGCGAAGATGTGAAGTTTCCAGACATTCATCAAAACTGTCCTCCACCACTGTGTTCCTAGAATGTACCTTTATTAGTACCTAGTAGATGCATTTCTGGCATATAGAGATAACCTAGCTGTGCCTCTAGGTGGCAGTGTAATGCAAAAAACATTGATTCTGTATCTTGTACTAGCAAATGTCTCTTCTGTAGTAAAGTGGTTGTTTGTCATAATCAGCATATTGGCACATTATGGCTGACTTGCCTTAAAAACGATCCCCTCCAGTGCTGCACTGTGCATGCGCCCCTCCATCACTGTCATTGCCATCTTCTTCCAGTCTCCCAGGTCCAGCATCTTGCACGTGCGCAGCCCAGTGTCCAGATGCCGGTATTGTACACTGGGCTGTGCATCTGCGGCTGTTAGTGAACAGTGCTGGGTGCCAGGACAAGTTAACTCCCATTTGCATGCAGTGAGAAGATGGCAGTGGCAGAGCTATATGGGGGAGTGCAAACGTAATATTTCTGGAGGAGGGCCCTTAAAGTTAGGGCGCCACAATGTGCAAATAAGCTGTGCAAGAGCTCCAGGGGGCTTTTCTGCTTTTAGACAGACTTACATGTCCAAGTATTTTGCTTTTACTTACTTTTCCAGATTGGAGAGTTTAGCCTGGCGGTCAGAGGTTGCCTGAAGTCTATCAGCTGCTGACCTCACAACTCCACACACTGAGAAAATAAAGACTGTACGTCAGGCCAGGGATATTGGCCTAGCCATACACAGCATGGTATCTGCAGGCGATACGATAGATAGGAGCGCAGTGTGCAACTACTAAGTAGAATACGGTAATTAATGCTCCATGTTAGGCTTAGTTATTCAGTATTCAGTACACAAACACAAATATACTGTTGGTATATATTTTTTTGCCTACAATGAACTATTAACCATTTGAAAGCCTAATTTTATTCAAATGTTTTTTTCTCTTTGCTTTATTACGTGTCACAGCCTTAGAGGACTCCTGTTCCTGTTTGATAGACAGCTACTGAAACGCACCGTACACACCAGCGTGCAGCTAGTGTTATTTTAAGGAGTGGTAACCTATATGGTAACCTTTGTCAGCTGACTTTTCTAGTGGTTTTGTCATGTAGGCCATACAACGCTGCCACTATTAATGGTAAACACAGCACTACAATACAGAGCAGGCTTAAAGGGATATTAAAGTCAAAAGGTTTTTGAGGTTTTTCAAATGTTGATGAAATCACTTACAATGGATGCTGCTCCTTGATGCTTAATTTTAGTTTCCTGTAGAATCAGCTTGTCCCCTGAGCACTGGCTCAGATATTCTGTTTTAGGGGGCTCCTTTCCCTTGCAGGGTTCTATGTTGCCAACGTTGTGTGTGCTAGTAAGCTGTGTGTGTCTCCAGAAACACACAGACACAGCAGGGCAAGCCTGTCCCCTGATTCCTCCTCCCCTCTCCTCCTTCCCCCCTCCTCCAAGCTGGTAGATTGACATCTGCTGCAGACTGCTCTGTCCCTTGTGATCTTGTACTGGACAGGAAGTTCAGTAAGTTCACCCCCAAAATGCTGGTAGATTGACATCTGCTGCAGACTGCTCTGTCCCTTGTGATCTTGTACTGGACAGGAAGTTCAGTAAGTGAACCCCCAAAATGCTGGTAGATTGACATCTGCTGCAGACTGCTCTGTCCCTTGTGATCTTGTACTGGACAGGAAGTTCAGTAAGTTCACCCCCAAAATGCTGGTAGATTGACAGCTGCTGGAGACTGCTCTGTCCTTTGTGATCTTGTTCTGGACAGGAAGTTCAGGAAGTGCACCCCAAAATGCTGGTAGATTGACAGCTGCTGGAGACTGCAGTGTTCCTTGTGATCGTGTACAGGACAGGAAGTTCAGGAAGTGCACCCCCAAAACTATATTTATATTTTTTGGGTACTGGCTGACAGATTGTGTTACCCACTGGGTTTGTTCAATCGTTGGGAGACACTGCAACATGATTTTTGCATCTGTGTTCCCACCTCCACCTACTTGCCCTGGCCATTTTTTTCGGGGGGTCCAAACATTTAATGTAAAGTAGCTTATATTGTAAAGCCTGTGAAGAAATTAGACTCCAAGCTGTTAAGGGGTGGTGATGTTTGTGTGTCCCTCCAAAGGTAATCGAAGCTAGTGAGCTTTACAACATTCCAACATTGACCAAAAAGGGGAGCATTTAACCCCTTCCCACCTACATTCTGTAGAATAATGTGCTGTGCTGAGGGAACATTAATGTATGTCCCACCTTTGACAGGTCAGACCTGACTGCTACTAACAGGTCCAGTCAGTCCCACTAATTATTGGGAACCTTTCAGAGTGGTTCTTGATCATGTGATCACTATGTTACCTATTAGGCCTCATTCACACAAGAAAAAGCCGGCACATACAGCTTTGTGGTGCGTGCACGGCCGTATCGGGCAGCTCCCGGGAAGGACATGTGCTGCATGTGATTAGTACGCATCCCCCGTCCTCTATGGGACTACGCGGCCGTACGCCGCCCTACGCTCACCTCAAGTGCAGGTCCGTACGGGTGCGGATGTCCCGGCTCGGACGCAGACAGGATTCGTCCTGTCAGCGTACGAGTACGCTCGCCCGCACATACGTGTCGGGGGAGGGTGAGCGTAGGGCGGCTTACGGCCGTGTAGACCCATAGAGAAGGACAGGAGCTGCGTATAATCACACGGAGCACATGTCCTTCCCGGGAGCTGCCCGATACGGCCGTGCATGCAGCACGGAGCTGTACGTGCTGGCCGGTTCTCGTGTGGATAAGCCCTTTAGTGATCACCTGCATCCTGAACATAGCAATGTACCTCTGTTTAAAACTGTAATTGTCAGATACAGTTACAGTATTAAAAAGATTTCTTTTTTCACGTTCATGCATTTGTCAGCCTATAAAAAATTATTAAAACAGTGTACCAAATAAAATCCCAAAGAAAATTATTACTATTTATTTAGGTTTGCAAATAGAGTTTAGCCTGGACATCAAAGCTGTAATGACCTCCGGTGACTAAAATGTGAGTTTTACTTTCGTGGACGTTCTGCATTCATCAGAATCTTTGCTGTGACCTCAGTGTGCACCGCACTCTCTGTGCATAATGATCAGGCGGCATCTGTCAATCAACTGTCATGACTCAGGGGATACTGCAGGGTAAAAATAGTATTTAGGAGGAGCGTTACTCCCACAGGGTGAGACACAGTCACAGATTACACAGAAATGTAATGACATGACAGGTGAGATTATTAGCTTTAGGCTCCGTTCACATGTAGCGACTTATCGTGCATTTTTGCAGCGCGATATCGCAGGAAGTCGCCGGCTAATGATAGTCAATGGAGCTGTCTTAGCTCCATGTCGCTCGTCGCGGTCGCAAGTCGCTTCTACCGGACCCTTTTTTCGGCGGATTTTGCACAATTTTGCTTTTTTTCTATGGAGCCCGACTAAGAAGGTCGCGCTACCGTCGCTGGAACGTCGCCCCGAAAGTCGCGCTATCCCGGCCGCTGCAAAGGTATGTCGCTACATGTGAACGGGGTCTTAGGCCTATAGTTGTATATTTTCATAGAAGGGGTTCTAGGATCCATAGGCTGGAGTCATAAACTGTGTGACTTTTACTTCTCCTCTACTGGTATCTAGAGGCAGCCTGGGGTGACGGCCATCTCTTAAAGAGAGATTGTCGCCTTGCCCAATGCAAAATGACAGAGGCCCTGTGAAGGCCTTCCCTCACCCACCAATTTATGCTTACCTTGCCTGCCCCCCTTGCTGCTCCTTCCTGCGATGCAGCCAGTGCTGAAATCGGTGGTGTCAACGACTTGGTTGAGCAGTGCGTTCCCATCCTTGGTCATGTGACATTGGAGGGAACAGTGGAGCTGGTCACATGTACAGACAACTGTCACTTAGGTGGCACAGTCTCTTCCAAGGGGGTTTCCATTGTCTTCAAGGAGCAGCAGCACATTAGACTATTGAGCTTATGTAGAACAAAGGAGATCTCTGCACTCAGAGAACCCACCCATTTTTTTTTCACGGCTTACAATCTTTAAAGTAGAACTATGAGGTGAATGATTTCCACTCAACCTCATAGTTCGAGCCGACCTGTGACAATGAAACTATCACAGGTCGGCTAAATAGATGGGGAAGTGAGCGAACACATACCGTCGTCTGCTCACTTCTCGATCATCTCACTGCATAGAGCAGTGACTGTCAGTCACAGCTTCTCGCAGGGATTCCCCTCCTCCCCGCTCCAATCCGCCAGCGCTGACTGGAGGAATGAACGGGAAGGGGGCAGGCACAGCTGGCTCTTCCGCTAGATAGGCAGAGCCCGCTGTCACTCGAGCAGCTGGGTGGATCTCGACAGCATTGTCGGGATCCGTCCCGGCTGTGGCGGTCTCAGTGTACCGCAAGCTGTAGCTCGCGATATACTGAGCTTTGGGTCATGGCTAGAGGTTAGTATATGTCCTCCGTGACCCTTAAGAGAACTATGGGGAAAAACTCTTACCCCATAGTTTTCTTTTAAGGCTGCCAGCAGGCCTGAACTTGCTTGTCCTTTTTCATGTGTTTTTTCCCCCTCCATTCTGTTAATACATAGGCCATTGTTGGTTTGTAAAATGTACCACCTCTCTCTACAGTTCCAACACCAACGAGTTTGAGACCGCGTTTGCAGATGAAGATGAGGAGGAGCCAGTGCCGGCCTCTCAAGCGGCCAACAAAGAGATAGTGACAGCTGAGGCGGTGAGGAATTTTATAGAGAATCGTCCTGATTTACATAAGCAAATCTTGCTCTATCAACCTCTGGACCTGGCAGCCCTTCACGCTGAGCTTAAGCAGAGCGGGATTAAGATAGCTGCTGGGAAGCTATTGGACTTTCTCGATGCGCACTGCGTGACTTTCACAACGGCCACCGCACGCAAAGAGAAGATGAGCCGCAGAAGGAAGAAAGCAGGAAAGCGATACTGAGTTGTGGTATAGCGTCAGCCCTCCAAAAACTGATAGGTTAGGTATGGGGGGACGCTGGTGTACCACGCTGGTGTACCAGATCACTGCTGGTATAATAAACCAGTGGATGAGTTCAGTTCAACATCTAAGCGGAAATCACAGGTTATGATGGGCTGACATTTTAAGACAGAAGGGGTATTCCTTTAATGTAAATATATAATGTAATTGTGTACCAAACTTTGTATATGGATTTTAAAGAAAAAAAAATCATTTGTATGTGGTGGAAGTTTTGTTATTAATTTTATGTGTAATAAATATGTGGATGGTATAGTGACTGTTTGTACTGTGACAGAGCACACATAAGGATGTGAATGGTATAGTGACAGGTTGTAATGTGACAGAGCACACATATGGATGTGGATGGTATAGTGACAGGTTGTACTGTGACAGAGCACACATATGGATGTGGATGGTATAGTGACAGGTTGTACTGTGACAGAGCACACATATGGATGTGGATGGTATAGTGACAGGTTGTACTGTGACAGAGCACACATATGGATGTGGATGGTATAGTGACAGGTTGTACTGTGACAGAGCACACATATGGATGTGGATGGTATAGTGACAGGTTGTACTGTGACAGAGCACACATATGGATGTGGATGGTATAGTGACAGGTTGTACTGTGACAGAGCACACATATGGATGTGGATGGTATAGTGACAGGTTGTACTGTGACAGAGCACACATATGGATGTGGATGGTATAGTGACAGGTTGTACTGTGACAGAGCACACATATGGATGTGGATGGTATAGTGACAGGTTGTACTGTGACAGAGCACACATATGGATGTGGATGGTATAGTGACAGGTTGTACTGTGACAGAGCACACATATGGATGTGGATGGTATAGTGACAGGTTGTACTGTGACAGAGCACACATATGGATGTGGATGGTATAGTGACAGGTTGTACTGTGACAGAGCACACATATGGATGTGGATGGTATAGTGACAGGTTGTACTGTGACAGAGCACACATATGGATGTGGATGGTATAGTGACAGGTTGTACTGTGACAGAGCACACATATGGATGTGGATGGTATAGTGACAGGTTGTACTGTGACAGAGCACACATATGGATGTGGATGGTATAGTGACAGGTTGTACTGTGACAGAGCACACATATGGATGTGGATGGTATAGTGACAGGTTGTACTGTGACAGAGCACACATATGGATGTGGATGGTATAGTGACAGGTTGTACTGTGACAGAGCACACATATGGATGTGGATGGTATAGTGACAGGTTGTACTGTGACAGAGCACACATATGGATGTGGATGGTATAGTGACAGGTTGTACTGTGACAGAGCACACATATGGATGTGGATGGTATAGTGACAGGTTGTACTGTGACAGAGCACACATATGGATGTGGATGGTATAGTGACAGGTTGTACTGTGACAGAGCACACATATGGATGTGGATGGTATAGTGACAGGTTGTACTGTGACAGAGCACACATATGGATGTGGATGGTATAGTGACAGGTTGTACTGTGACAGAGCACACATATGGATGTGGATGGTATAGTGACAGGTTGTACTGTGACAGAGCACACATATGGATGTGGATGGTATAGTGACAGGTTGTACTGTGACAGAGCACACATATGGATGTGGATGGTATAGTGACAGGTTGTACTGTGACAGAGCACACATATGGATGTGGATGGTATAGTGACAGGTTGTACTGTGACAGAGCACACATATGGATGTGGATGGTATAGTGACAGGTTGTACTGTGACAGAGCACACATATGGATGTGGATGGTATAGTGACAGGTTGTACTGTGACAGAGCACACATATGGATGTGGATGGTATAGTGACAGGTTGTACTGTGACAGAGCACACATATGGATGTGGATGGTATAGTGACAGGTTGTACTGTGACAGAGCACACATATGGATGTGGATGGTATAGTGACAGGTTGTACTGTGACAGAGCACACATATGGATGTGGATGGTATAGTGACAGGTTGTACTGTGACAGAGCACACATATGGATGTGGATGGTATAGTGACTGGTTGTACTTTGACAGAGCATACATATGGATGTGAATGGTATAGTGACTGGTTGTAATGTGACAGAGCACACATATGGATGTGGATGGTATAGTGACTGGTTGTACTGTGACAGAGCACACATATGGATGTGAATGGTATAGTGACTGGTTGTACTTTGTCAGAGCACAAATATGGTTTATCAATGGACCTTTAAAGTGTACATCTTGTCAGATTAAAATGTATTTCTCTTTCATTGAGGAACACAGGAATTCAGAGCCTGTTGGGTTGTACTGCTGATTACAGGAGGATTTGAACAACCCCAAACAAAAATGTTGTGGCCAGCCTGGTATAACCTCTCCCATTCCCAGCATGCTTCAGTTCTCTGCTAGTGCCCAGGATCGAAGTCTTTTTTCTACTCTTCTGAGAAAAGTCTAAACTTTTTGCTAATATTTGTCCTTCAATCAAGATTCTTCTATAAGCTGCTTGAGCTGGTCTCTATACGGAGCTATTTGGATTGGTGTTTCCTCAGCACTAGCTATAGAGGCCTGGAGTGGAGGATTGCAGGGCTAGTCAAAAATGTGACCTACGGAGACTAGGCTCTTCTGCAACAGCAGCTGGTTTGTGAGTATTTAAGGCCTATTCTTATACACTGAGCTACATTGCCCCTGCCTTGTGGTGCGACATGTGGGATACTAGACATAATAGTCCCACTGTACCAGGTAGAGTCACAGGTATGATTCCAGAGGCAGATGCATATTGGGATTTATAGTTTCATCACAACTGGTGGGTCAATATTTGCCCCTGCTCTAATGATTCCAATGCTGCTGGCAGTGTACCCACAGAAAGGCCACAACACTAGCTCCTGAGGGTGTGGCCCCCTCCTTGGCTCTGTCCCAGGAGGATTTCACGGCAATCATGCAGGATGTAATGGGCCAATTAGCAACCTTGACTGCTGACTGTGCCCACAGGAGTCATAAGTGTGCTTCCACGCCTAACTCTTCAGAATGCTTTCCTATGCAATCCAACCGCAATCAGATCTGCTTGCGGTATTAGCAATCTCTGAGTCTTCAGATGCTTAGACTAAAGCTGATGACGCTACACCTGAAGAGTTGCAGGTGCTGCCATTACTCCCAGACTTTGAGACAGTCAGTCTCAAAGTCTCTTGTTCGCACCACTTTAAAACTTGAGTATCTGCCTTCAGCTCCTACCAGTTCAGTCTCCAGTGTATGCTCCTTTAAGGTCCCCCAGGACTGCCAAGACCTTTACAGTGCACCCACTGTTTGTGGACTGCCCACACTGTACATCCAGCAGTATCCTGTCTTAACAAAGCCTTGCTGATCCCTGTGGAAGAAGTGGCTATTTACTCAGTCCCATTTCAGACCCCTACAACAGAACATGCGGTCATCATGGGACATCAGTCCAGTCTTTGGAATAACTGATTTGTCTGGCACAGAAGACCAGGTTGGTCTGGTGGCTCAGGAATCATGCTGTAAAGCTGAGGAAGTCCTCCCTCCCGTCTCGTGGAAAATCCTCACGATGAAGGCCACCCTTTTGGGCCTGGGGATCAGTCCTGTAAACTGTCGATGCAGGGGACTTTTATGTCAGGGGAATCTTCTCTCCCTTTCAACATTCTGGACTTTCAGGTGATTTGGTTGTCCCTGCAATGCTGGACACCCTAACTAGAAAGTCATCTACTCAGGATTCAGTTGGACAACACAATAGAAAGGATCCTGTTCTGGTTAGAACTTCATGTTCCATCCTTGTCCACTGTTTACATCCCAGATGTGTTCAATTGGCAGGCAGACTACTTCAGCCAGCAGCGCCTCGATCTTGGGAAATAGTCTGTACACCCAGAGGTGTTCCAGGACCTCTGGCACAGGTGGGGATTCCAGATGTGGACCTCCAGGTTCAACAACACTGAAAAATGGCTGTTAACCTGTCAAAAATCCAGCTTCTAACTTCCTGCATGAGCTGACAATGCTGCCTCTGCTGCACTAAAATTACAGGCAGCGTTGTCTGCCTTGCTCATTTCTCTCCTGGTGGACTTCAGAACACCTCCCCATCTCTTCATCTCCTATAACATAAGGGGAGGTTATGTGGTCCTGCATGGCTGAGAGCACTGCTTGGGATCTTCTGTAGTTGCTGCATTTGAGACACAAAACTTGGAGAAATGTACATGCGTTGTAGAGATGTACTCAATGTGTTTTTTTATTTTACCCAGACATACACTTTAAAGATCAGGGGTGATTTCCATTGGATGCATAAGCTTCAACCTCTCTGGTCCCTTGTTTACCAGCTTCTGCCCCTTTTAAATGCAGATTTAACATCAGGTCAAACTTTTTCTATGAAAAGGACTTACCTTCTCACCAAATAATGTGTGGTTTTCGTTCACACCTATGCTGACATTATCCTTGACTATAGATAGATTTCTTGAAGGGGTTTACAGAGCAGGAAGTCAGCCATGGGCTGGAAAATGTCTCATTTTTAAAAAAAGGAACTTTATCTCCGTTATCTTCCATTCTGAGAAATTCCCAAAGCATTGAAACATTATGTGTGGTTGGCAAAAATAAATCTGAAATGCAGCAATGATGGCCCCCACCTGCCCCCCCTCCATTTGTTACATGATATATGTGGACTTTAATCTTAGCTTGGAAAGATCATTAACTTCAGCAAGCAACTGCAAAGCAATTTTCTATGTTTTGAGGAGCATGGTTGAAGATGCACCTCCCTCTTTACTTTATTTCCATGAGTCTTCAGTCCGGTCCTCTTCTGTTCCTGGCATTGGGTGGGGAGGATTCTGATTTCCTGCAGCACTCTCCTGTGAGCCCGGTGAAGCTTGAAGACATACCCCCCAGGGGGCGGGCCTTTGACACCCTGGGCTCACAAGAAGAGGGTTGACTGAGAAAAGACACCAGCGTTGAACCACAGAGCACTGAGTTTGTAGGTTGAACAATGCC